AGTGTGACGATAGCAGTCAAAGTGGATAAATATCGATCTAAAATTGTCTATTTTAGCGTATTTCTTCATTCTAACCGTGTTCCTCAATTTTGTTTTTTTATTCTAACGTCATAGCTGAATAAAACATAGAAAACTACATCGATCTACATTTGTAGTTCAATAGATGGATGCGTAGTTAATACGTGACAAACTTCACAACGGTAAAAGAGTTACAACTTTTTCATTTGTATTTAACACTGAAAAAATCAATTCTTTTAGGATAATTATACTTGATTTAGATAGTGCTCATCGTTTTATATAGTGAAAATAAAATTTTATTGCTACAAGTCTTCTCGTAGAATTGAAGGCTCGTTGATAATTAGAGTAGACTAAAAATGCGTAAGATAAAAAGAATTTGTCATCATTTTTAAAAATAAACTTGATATTTGTGATCAGCATCGCCGATCATCTATATGTCGACTATTTCTGCTTTAGAAAAAAAATTTCCGAAAATCTGAAGACTGAGGAAGACATTTATATTTCCCGTATCAAATTCTTTGAAGGCTTTTCAAAAAATTATGGGTAAGAAAATAGCCTTAATACGTTCATTGATGATAATCAGTATCGACTATAGCAAGAGAGGCAGATTTTATGGTAAGTTTTCATAAAATGGCAGAACTGAATGACCTGTGCTTCTACTCAAAACTGTACAATATATGACAACTCTCTTGATGTTAGTTGTATGATGAGAATTTATCTTTTTATTCATCGGATGTTTTTTTTCTTTTAGAACTCAATAACAATCCTAGCTCATCAATATCGTCTTCTCTTTACAAAAATTCGCTACAACTGACGTCATTTTACACCATTTACGAAAGTAACAATTTAGTTGTATTCTGGGATTACAATGATGATAACATTATTCTTGATATTACCGAGTTTCAAATAATTCTTGAACAAGAATTCGCTGCTGATCATACAAGAAATTCAAATATGATTGCAAGACGAAGTGGTTCTTTATTGCCGGGTATCAAAAAATACATTATTCGACATGTTCAACCAAATACCAAATATTTTGTTTGTATATGTATTACACGTCTTGGTCGTGATACTGATAAATATTGTCGTGATATTCTAACCATAACATTACCAGTAACAACAGATTATCGACTTCTACAATCCGCTTCCACTTCAACATCTAATTCTCTTTTATGGAATATATTATTGAATAAATCCGTTTTATTCGGTTTTCTGTTTGGTACAATAATTACAACCACTTTTTTATTGATATTAGCCTTAACATGTCGTAAAATACATAAATATCGAAAAGAAAAATCAAAAACAGCCAATTTATTCGAACAACATTATATGTACGTTGATGGAAATTATTCAAATTCAATCTGTGAACATCATCATGGGAAAAAAGTATATGATTATTTAAAATATCAACCTAAAACATCTCGAAAACGTCATTTAACATGCCTGGCATCTTGTTTTCGAAAACATTCTATTGATCATCGACAACTATCATCCACTTCATTTCCCACTACACCAAAAAACAC